GAGGAGGAGAGGAGGTCAGGAGGAGGAAGAAGGAGGGAGGATGGTGAGGAGGAGAGAGGAGGAAGGCGTGGCAGAGGGCCGAGGAGAGGAGGAGGAGGTAGGAGGAAGGAGGGAGGAGGTACGAGGAGTGAGAGGAGGAGGAGGAGGAGGAGCGGCAGAGGAGGTAGGAGGAAGGAGGAGGGGCAGGAGGAGGGGAGGAGGACGAGGAGGTGTAGGGATAGGAGGAGGAGGAGGAAGAGTAGGAAGAGGCGAGGAGAGAAGGAGGAGGAGGAGGAGGAGGCGGTCAGACGGAGGAGGAGGAGGAAGAGGAGAGGCAGGAGGAGGAGGAGGAGGACGGAGGAGGAGGAGGAGGAGGAGGAGAAGGAGGAGGAAGAGGAGATGAGGAGGAGGGAGGTAGGAGGAGCGAGGAGGCGGCAGAGGACAGGAGGAGGAGGAGGAAGGAGGCAGGAGGCAGGAGGAGAGGAGGAGAGGAGAATGGAAGAAGGAGGACGGAGGAGGCAGGAGGAGGTAGGAGATAGAGTGAGGAGGAGGAGGAGGAGGAGGTAAGGAAAAAGAAAAGGGAAAGGCGGCAGAGGAGGATGGAGGAGAGGGGAGGAGGAGGATGAGGAGGAAGGAGGACGAGGAGGGGGAGGTAGGAGGAGGAGAAGGAGGCAGGAGGAGCGAAGAGGAGGAGGAGGAGGAGGAGGAGGGCAGGATTAAGGAGGGAGGCAGAAAGGGAGGTAGGAGGAGGCGAGAGGAGGAGCGAGGGATGGAGGACCGAGTAGAGGAGGAGGACGAGAGGAGGAGGAGGAGGAGGAGGAGGAGGAGGAGGAGAGGCGCTTTGATGCCGCGCTTTATAGACGATGCTTCTACATATATAGCAATTAAACTACCTTCTTAAGAGTAAACGCGCCCCCACACACGCACGCACGCGCATATACGCACGCACACACAAGCACGGGCATAGGTACTAGATAATAACAGCACACAGAATGTTAAGATCATGTGACGCGGTAACCTTCAAACGGGAACATTCAAACGATGCAAACAACAAACGAAAATTACCGAAGCTTGTCACGAATATTACCGAAGCTTGCCACGACAATTACCGAAGCTTGTCACGACATTTACCGAAGCTTGCGACCACATTTACCGAAGCTTGTCACGAATATTACCGAAGCTTGCCACGACAATTACCGAAGCTTACCTACAAACCACAAACTAAGACCGCGACCCAACTGTTATCGGTATGTCCTTTACCGATCTAGCAGATTTAAATTACTAATTACTAAATTAAAAATACTAAATTTTAAAACGTCAATTTTACACTTTGACATGGCGTACGGCACTAGTTTACTGATACGACTAGATATTGTGATACCCTACCCTCTGTAACTATTAAGTGCAGACTGTCGGGTTATTGTTAGATCAGGCGACGTGTGAAATAGAGGATAGGTTGGGCTGACATATGTCCCTGAACATGACCGTATGCATTCACACTAGTACGATGGCGGGAGAAAAAAATGACATAGATGGATGGAAATAGATCGAGAAAAGAGGAAGGGCTGGAAGGAGGAGTAGCTGTCTGACATGAGATTGAGGGGTTATTCACACTCTGCAGGAGAAATGTCTGATACGCAGATGGGTAAAGTCTTAAAGTATGTTCCTATAATCAGACGAATGAAGCTAGAACCGACGATTGAGAGTTACATAGACGTACATCACCCAAACGGCCAAACCCCATGGATACGCAGTGTGCACATGATTAAATAGAAATAGGCGGGTGGGGAGGAGGACCAGACTGAAATCGAATATCATGATTAATAGTGCACAACACAACGTAACGTATACATACAGCAAACGAGCAGTATTATTACATTCACCTACCCACCCGCACGCACGCACGCACGCACGCACGCACGCACGCCCGCCCGCACGCCCGCACGCCCGCCCGCATGACTAGAGAACGACGAGTGAGTAGAGAGATAAACCTGCTAGAGGTAAACATGTAAACACCTAGAGGTAAACATGTAAACAACTAGAGGTAAACATGTACCAAGTAAACAACACGAATATAATTATAAGACAACAAACAATCCACTCCTCTCAAAGCTTAAAGCTAGCACTATACGCAGTCATCGGTTAAACGTGCACGACGAAGTAAAACATATGAACGAGTAACGGTGTGGCTCCCTACCATAGCAGCGGCATTAGCTCGACTTTGGACAGCCTTTAGCTGGGCTTGCAGATGAGGCGGAGGGTGGAAGTAGCGACACTGCTCGCGTGTGCACCGACCCTTTACAAAATCCATACACACCGTCACCATCCCGTCGGTCGCGTCAACCGTCACATGCTCGGGCGGGTGTGCGAAGCGGCATTCGTTCTCCAGCCGCTTGCAGTTGCCGCGCTGGAACTCCCGGCATACCTAGCAAACACAAGCAACAAGCAAACAGCGCTGTGTGAGGCCACGGTACAATGTAGTACGACTGCGACTACTGCTGCTGCTAGTGATGCTGCTGCTGCTGCTGCTAGTGATGCTGCTGCTAGTGATGCTGCTAGTGATGCTGCTGCTGCTACTACTACTACTGCTACTGCTAGTGCTGCTGCTGCTGCTGCTACTACTACTACTGCTACTGCTAGTGCTGCTGCTAGTGATGCTGCTGCTGCTGCTGTTGCTGCTGCTGCTGCTACTACTACTGCTACTGCTGCTGCTGCTGCTGCTGCTGCTGCTACTGCGGCTGCTGCTGCTGCTGCTACTACTACTGCTACTGCTGCTGCTGCTGCTGCTACTGCTGTTGTTGGTGCTGCTGCTACTGCTGCTGCTGCTACTGGTGATGCTACTGCTGGTACTGCTGCTGCTGCGGCTGCTACAACTACTGCTGCTGCTACTGCTGCTGCTACTGTTGTTGTTGTTGGTGCTGCTGCTAGTGCTGCTACTGCTACTACTACTGATGCTGCTACTGCTGACGCTACTGTTGTTGTTGTTGTTGTTGTTGCTGCTGCTGTTAGTGCTGCTGCTACTGCTACTGCTACTGCTGCTGCTGCTGCTGCTGATGCTACTACTTCTGCTACTGCTGCTGCTAGTGATGTTGCTGCTGCTACTGCTGCTGCTGCTGTTTCTAGTTCTACTACTACTGCTGCTACTGTTGCTGCTGCTACTGCTGCTGTTCCTACTGTTGCTGCTACTACTACTACTGCTGCTGCTGCTGCTGCTGCTGCTGCGTTGCCAACATGCTAGCAAAGCTTTGCCACGAACCCCCTATAGCAGCCTATAGCGGTGTAAACACGGCGAGTGTGAACGCAAGAGCTCGACATAGAGCATTCGACAGCCAGAAAGAGAAAGAAACAGTGAGAGAGAGAAAGAGAGAGCGATTTTTGCATAGCGGCACTAAGAGAGACGAGCATACACGAACACACGTGCACGAGTGCGTGGGTGGCGGGGAGCGGCGGCGGCGGCGGCGGCGGCGGCGGCGGGATGCTGCAGACGACGACGACTACACTCAGCCGACGACTCAGACTTCTGGCGAAACAACCGACGAACGACGGCGACGTTCGACACGCCCCCTAGCGGCGTCCTTGCGAAACAAGACGGCTGGCTATATGACCGACGCGCGAAGAACGAAGAGGAGAATGTTGCAGCAATGCACAGACGCCTCCTCCTCCTCCTCCTCCTCCTCCTCCTTCTCCTCCTCCCCTGGCTTCCTCTGTGATTGCAGTCGTGGATCTCTCGACACGAGGTAACGTAACGCGAGGAGGGAGGTGGAGGAGGGGTGTCGGCGAGCGGTGACGTCACAGTCCGCGTGGAGGGCCGCCACCGATAGATTTGACGAACATTTCCTAACGAGACCCGCTGCGTGGAAAAGGAGGAGGAGGAGCAGGAAGAAGAGGAGGAAGAAAAAAAGGAAGAAGAAAAGGAGAACGAATAAGAAGAGGAGGAGGCGAAGGAGAGAAGGAAGGGGAGGAAAAAGAAGAAGAAGATGAAGAAAAAGAGGAGGAGGAGGAGAAAGAAGAGGCGGCAGAGGAGGCAGGAGGAGGAGGAGGAGGAGGAGAGGAGGAGGAGGAGGAGAGAAGGCGGGGAGAAGAGGAGGATGGAGGAGGAGGAGAGGAGGAGGAAGGGGAGGGAGATGGAGGAAGAGGCAGGAGGAGGAGGAGGTAGATGTGAGGAAGAGGAGGGAGGAGGAGGCAGGAGCGAGGAGGAGGCGCAGAGGAGGGGAGGATGGGAGCGAGGGCGAGGGGAGGACGAGGAGGGAGGAGGAGGAGGAGGAGGAGGAGGAGGAGGAGGGGAGGAGGGAAGAGATGAGGAGGAGGGAAAAAAATAAAACGAGGAGAGGCAGCGGGCAGAGAGGAGGAGGAGAGAGGAGGAGGAGGGGAGGAGGAGAGGACGAGGAGGAGAGCGAGGAGGCAGGAGAGGAGGAGGAAGGAGGAGGAGGAGGACGAGGAGGAGGAGGAGGTAGGAGAGGAGGAGGAGGGGCAGAGGAGGAGGAGGAGGACGGAGAGGAGGCAGGACAGGAGGAAGGAGAGAGGCAGGAGAGAGGAGGAGGAGGAGACGCAGCGAGGAGGCAGGAGAGGAGGAGGAGGAGGAGGCGGCCAGAGGAGGAGGAAGGAGAGGAGGAGGAGAGGAGAGAGGAGGACGAGAGAGGAGGAGGAGGAGGAGGAGGAGGAGAGCGAAGAGAGGAGGACGGAGGGGAGGAGGAGGAGCGCAGAGGAGGAGGAGGAGGAGAGAGAGGAGGAGGAGGCAGGAGAGGAGACGAGAGGAGGAGCGAGGAGGAGAGGGGAGGAGAAGAGGAGGAGGAGAGGAGGAGGAGGAGGAGGAGGAAGGCGGCAGAGGAGGAGGAGGAGAGGAGGAGCGAGGAGCGAGGAGGAGGAGGCAGGAGGAGAAGAGGATGGAGGAGAGAGGAGGAGGAGGAGGAAGAGGAGGAGGCAGGAGGAGCGAGGAGAGGAGGCGGCCAGAGGAGGAGGAGGAGGCAGGAGGAGGAGGAGGAAGGAGTGAGGAGGACGAGGCAGGAGGAGGAGGAGAGAAGGAGGAGGGAGGAGGA